CATAAGTGTGCTAGTAACATGATTTTTTGAACTAAATATTGTCTTTGGTGGTGATTTAAAACATACTTTAATTTGTTTCTTCAGTGGGGTGAGCTAAATCACTTCTTGAAAGAACTTTGCCTTGTGTTACCTGCGCTGTTTCTGTCCATTTTTCCCCAATTTGCTGTGCATTGTTTTTTTCCAGCTAGGAGGCTAATTTAACCCTGAATAGTTTAATGTGGCAGTGAGCACAAAAGTGTCCTCAGAGGCCCCTTCAATCGACCGATCCTACCTCTCTGTGAATGTCCTCCAACTCGTTTCTGTTTTGTGAGACAGGGTGTTCTGCTTTCCTGTTCTTTGATATCACATTGGACACCCGAGAGTAAACGTTTAGCCCCAACCATCTGGCTCGTACTGCCTAACAAATAACAAACCAGACTTTGTCTTTGATTCTCTTTTTAAGGTCAGACATACAGAAGTACAGCCTACTTGAGTGTGGTTGGTACGGCAATAATAGAAGTGTAATAATTTATAGTTTTAATTAGAACATAACACCTAAGATGTTATATAATGTGCTTGAGTGTGATATTGTTATGCTACAGAATTACATGATTATGACTGTGTAAAAACAGCTTTTGTAATAAAAAAGGAGCATTACTTGTGCCAGACCCTGTATTTTTTAATTTTTATAAATATTGTAATTAATATGCCATGTAGATTTTGTGCCAATAATATAAATTGCAATAATAATATATACTCTATGAGCTTATGTAAACTCATTACTTATATTTATAGTCTTACGTTGCATTAGCTCATGTTATAAAATGTATTCCACAACTTTGGAGACAAGGCTACAGGCCTTTTGTAATGGGCTACAGGCCTATTCTGTCTTATGTGCATGTGTGTATGTGTATAGTAGCAATAATTTACACTATTAAATTTCAAATACAGTATATCTAGATGTGATTTCCCATGCTAAAATCACAGTTAGTTAACAGAAAACTTATTATTAGATTTATGTTATTTTGATTAATTTTTTAATAATGTCATGTAGCCTAGGTATCAGATCTTGCCAGTATTTAAGAAAACATTTTCATCAATATCTATACCCTAATATTATTACCCCATCTTTTCTTATTGAATCAAATATTGTTCTCTAAAAATGTGTGTATTTATCTCTACATATTTTAACATAAACAAGGGTTTGTTGCAAACCGCAGAGGGGTCTGACCCGCAGCCATAAATCCATCTGCTCTGACACTAATCATTGCCATTTAAGCGGCTTCGCCATCGCTGTGCTCTACGCCTCTGGACAGGTCTCTAGTCCACTGAGTTGTGCCATAGCACCACTGATCTGGATGGACACATCAACAGATCAGTCCTGCCCTGCAAGGGCATGTGAACACTTCGAGGGGTAACGCTCTGCTTATTTGCTCCAGTAACAATATTAGAACTCATGATGTTCGAGGCTTCGAAAGGATCGTGGAATGGGAATACTCCCTTCCCTATTCATTATGAAAGGGGGAGACTCCTTTTCCAGGGTTAAGTTCACAGATGGCTGTGTGGGTGATTAAGGTAGTATTTTAATAGTAAAGCTGGGCACTGAAATGTTGAATTTATTGAACTAGTTACTTCAGTACACACATACAGACACATAACTGTCTTTGCTACTGTGAACATTCTGGCTCATTTGTTTTTATTATTTTAATTAATTAATTAATTTTTAGTGGCGGGGAAGGGAGGAAAGAGAAAGAGGGAGAGAAACATCAATGTATAGTTGCCTCTCAGGCACCCCCTACTGGGGACTTGGCCCGCAACTCAGGCATGTACAGGCCTGCACTCAGTTCACTGCACCACACCTACCAGGGCAACTCTAGCTCATTTTAGTAGATTGGATGCCCTGTGGTATATAAGATCATGACTTCACTTCAGCTTCCATGACTTACCATGTCTACTCAGCATTCCTTGAAGATAAATTGTTTTTTCGGGGACTGTGCCCTAACAGTTTGACTATTTGCTTTCAGATCTATTTCTCACTCTAGTTTTACTTTGCTCTGTAATGGGACAGAGAGAGGGTCAGGCTGACACATGAAAGATTAGGTTTCTCAAGTTCCTTTTTGAGCCAGCTTCCAGATGAATTTATCCAATAAAAGACATGACAAGAGAATGTACATCAAGCAAATTTATTGTTCATTTTCATCTATTACCCTTTTTATTACCATTTTACTATCAAAATGCCATCTTGGGGAGCTACCCTAAATGGTTCAATAACTGGCTCTTTTTTTGTTTGTTCATTTTCAGATTTTTAAAATTTCATTAGAGGTTAGACTCTCTTGTGTACCTCAAGTATCATGGAAAAGAAAACTATTCTCACTTTTTTCAGAGCCCAGTTACCTATTGCATGTTCTATTAACAGCCTTAACCTCTTTGAAACAAAAAAATCTAACAATGCACACGAAGTTTATGTACCCATGGCTCTAGAGCATTCTGCTTGCAAAGACTCTAAATCCTTTAACATTTAGAGTCTGGCTCTTCTCTGGAGGGCCTGGCAAAGGTTATCATCAAGTTGTGCTGTGGCATACTTGTCTCCTATTCCAAATTGGGAGGGGAAAGAGGTTCCCTTTGTATAACTAAAGTACAGTTTTGTTGTGTGACTTCCAGATGGAGAGGAGCCAGCAAATCTGTTCAGGTGGTGTTGCTGACGTTCACAGCGAGCACCAGAGCATTTATTTCAAGGAACAGCTCCAAATGCCACTAAAGTGCTTATAGGCTTTTATCCTCTCTTAGTAATAAAATAATACTCAAAGTGTCGGTGTTTCCTTTTGTAAAACAGGAAAGCTGGATACATCTTATTAAGATGGTTTTCCTGCAGATCTGTGCTTCGCTGGGGGGGATGTATAGAGAAAATATGATCATGTTAAAAGGCACATTTTAAATACATTATTATAAGGTACTAACAGGTTTCTTTTTTAAGAAAAATAAAAGCTTGCAGGACAATGGTTGGCTTTTAATTCCACCTCAGTAGAACTCTGATCACATACAAACCTGGTTTGTTGATTGAGTTGTTTCATTAACAATATGAAATGAGACAAGTAAAACACTTGGGGAAACAGTGAGATTTAGAAGCAAAATGTAAATTCAAACAGATGATTTGAAGGTTGTATGGTAAAAGTTTAGTTTCTCCTACTAATTAGGGCTGTTGGGACTATTATAATGTTCAGCTTCTAGGTCAATTAAATTTAGCAGCTTATTTTTTAACCAAATGAAACACTAAAAGTTAATAAAAATTTTAAATACAATTATTTTCCCTTAGAAATCTTTCACCATTCATTATTTCCTTTTTTCTTTTTATTTAAATTTTGCATACAGAAAAGCAGATGGTTAAAAATTAAAGGAATTTTAAATATTTTATGTGCATATGTAAATAAACATTTTAAGAAGTTCATTTAATAAATTTTGATGTATTACTTAAATGCTAACTGTACTTTAATGATTAATATCTAATTAAAATGCCTGACAAAAATTCTTTGACAGTCAAAAGGTCTTCATTAAACAACAACAGGTTCTAAGAGGACTAAGCCTAAAATTGTGTTACATAATAAATTTATATCCAGAGTAGATACTATAGTAGAATTATTTCACTGATTATGATTATTGAAAATTATTTTGCTTCCACTACATGTGTCAATATTATTTTTATGGACATTGTACATTACCAATTTCCCAGTCACTCTATTTCTTTTATCTAACACTGTTATTATATAAGGGAACAGACATGCAGAAAAAGACCTAAAAAAGCATAAATATGCAGGTTAACAAATTATGTTAAAGCAAACACCTACATAAAACCTCCTGATTTAAAATATAAATTTGCCAGAATTCCAGATTTTGCCTATAGTTCTGACAGATCTCAATACCATCCCCACCTGAAGGAAGAAATCATGATTTACCTTTTTGGTACTCTCTTTAGGCATCTAAATATACATTCTGATACAACGTAGCTTGGTCTCCCATATTTGAAACTTCATAAAATGTAATCATACAGTGTGTAGTTTTTGTGTGTCTGTCTTCTATACTGCCACACTTACTCAAGTGTTTTGCACTTATTTTCTGTGGGGTTGACTATCTACAGATACACATTGGCCTATGAATGCTTTTTTAATTCTGTATATAGGTTCATTGACACACACACACACACATATGACAAATACATCTGCTTACTCTTTGTGTTTTTACTTTATAATATAGTTTGATATACAGAAATTTGTATTGTGTATCAATCATTGCATGATAGTGAATTTTGTTTAATTTTAAGTGTTCACTTTTAAATATATAAGTAATATATAATTATAATAAATTATATATGATTTTTAAATATATAATCAGTCTGGACTTTTAAAAAATGTGTTCTGAGAAACATGTTTAAATAATTTTTATTACTTTTAAAAAGATAATCAATAGTCCGAGTATTATTTATTGAAAATATTATTCATGCTTTATTACTTCATAGTTCTACCATTTTAATAAATTTTGTGTGCACTTATATTTAGGTCTGATAGGGATATTCCATTCATTTTGTCACTATTTTTTTTATACCTAGAAGAAAATCTTCTCCCATTTTGTATTCCCTTATAAATATTTTTAAATGTATCAATTCCAAAACATATGGTTATCTGAGATTTATTTCAATCTCTAAACCTATTTAGGAAAAATTAAAACCTTTACAACACTCAGTCTTCCAATCTATGAATTATAATATCTCACTACACTGGAATTGTGTTTAACGTCTTTCAATAAAGTCTTATTTTTATCTGCAAACTATATCCTATTGTGTTTACAATATATATAGAAATTTCACTGTCTTTATAATTTTGTAAATGAAATGTTGGAAGTCTGTTTCTCCCTAATTATTTGTTGGCAATGTAAAAATAGAATTGATTTTTGTATGTTGATTTTATACTTGCAATTCTAATTGACCTTTCTTATCAGTCTATCTAGTTTTTATGTGTAGATCTTTTTTCTCTTTTTTTTTCCAGTCATCAGGTGAAAAGGGTTGAAGGGCACTTTCTTCAAGGCAGTACAGCGATTCGGAGAACGTCATCATTCTTAGATTTACTATGTGTTAAGTCCCACTGTCAGAGAATAAGCATAAATTCTTCCTGATATTTTGGAATAAATAACATTTCTCCTTTATACTGCAAATCCCAAACCTCTAGTATAATGCCGAATTCTGAATTAAGGTAAATTTAACATGCGATTCACTTAATTTAACAATTGGAACATATGTTGTACCATATGATTCTTGCAGGTTTTTGCAAGTTACACACTGAAAAGTTTAAGGATGCTACTTTATATTCATTTTTAAGTCACACTAGATGTCAATTTGTCTGCTAGCTATTTTGTGCATCTATTGTAGTGACTGAATGATGTTTCTCCTTAATTCTGCTAGGCTAAGCTGGAGTTCTGAAAGTACTCCGTCAGTATATATTTCCTTTTTTTACATATCAGGGGCTCGTTTTGGTAATAACCTGTTTCTAAGTTTTACATTTATGTTCATAGAGAGGTTTTTATTCCCTTCATCATTAATTTTCTTGTTAGATTTTGTTATGTTAATGATAGCATCTTAAACTAGTTCAGGAGATATTACCACTTGTTTTCTTAGTAGAGTTTGTATAGTAATTGAAGTTATTTATTTTTAGATGCAAAAAAGAATTAACAAACCCAGCTGTGGGCTCTGAATTCTTTCATATGGAAAATATTACAACTGTGGATTCAATTCCTGTGGCTATTACAAATATATTCAAGTCATTTGTTGCTCTTGTATCAATTTAATAAGTATTAGGGAGTTTTTTTTTCATTTTTAACTAAATTTACAACACTGTGACGTAAAGTTTTTTAATCTTATTTTATTATCTATTTGGAATGTATATATGTCACACTTATCATTTCTGATATTTCACTATTTGAATTATTAATTTTGTTATTCTTTTTTTAAAATATTTTTTATTAATTTATCTTTAGAGGGGAAGGGAAGGAGAGAGGGAGAGAAATATCAGTGTATGGTTGCTTCTGGTACATCCCCTGCTGGGGACTGGCCCCTGCTGGGAACTGGCCTGCAACCCAGGCATGTGCCCTGACAGGGAATCGAACTGCGAGCTTTTGGTTTGCAGGCCTGCGCTCAATCCACTGAGCTACACCAGCCAGGGCCCAATTTTGTTATTCTTTATTAATCTTTTCAGAGGTCCATCAAGTTTGTAGGCTTTTTCCAAAGCATCATACTTAAATAACAGAGTTAGATAAACTCTATGGGTGGTTTATGAAGAGTTTCTACTTACTTACTTACTTTTTTGAAATATTTTACTTTTTAAACTTTGAACTATTGCTTATTTCATAGGTGTTCAATATTTCCTTTTTTCTTAATAGTTTCCTTTTAGTCTCTATTTTTTAAATATTAATTTAACATCATCCCAATCTTTATACGCACTGTTTATCATAGCTCAATTGCTAATATTTGTAATATGCACTATTTTATTTACATATAAATTGAATTTAAATCTACTGCTTAATTTTGAACTATACATTCATATATTACATTAATTTTCATATGTAACTTTATAGTCCTATCACTAGTTTGTACTAATTCCTAGTCTCTCTCTTCCATTCTTCGTGTCACTCATTATTTTGTCATTATAAAGTACTTTTACTATACCACAACCCAGCAGGATTTTCCCAGGTACATGAAGCTGGTAAATCATTTGAAATTCAATTAATGTAATCCATCATATCAACAGAATAAAAAATATTGCATAATAATTGTAGTACAGAAAAAGCATTTGATGAAATACAGCACCTATCATGATGAAAACTACCTCTCAGCAAAATAGAAATAGAGGCCAGTGTTCTCAACTTGTTTAAGATTAGCAACAAGAAAACCTACAGTTAGCATCATACTTCAAGGTGAGACATTGTAAGCTTTCCCCAGAAGATTAGGAGCAAGGCAAGTGTGCCTCGCCGCACCACCTTTTCAACATCAAACTAGAAGTCCTTGTTGATGTCATAAGGCAATAAAATTAAATAAAATGTGTACAGATTGTAAAGAATCACAATAAACTCCATTGAGTCTTGGATATTTTAAATTGCAAAAGCCTTCTATGTTAAATTATTTTCTGACATTAGTAATCTTTTTGCATAATTAGTAATAAACGTAAGTGAATTTGAATTAATTGCATTGTGTAGGGCTTTCCAGTGCTTCCATGATGTGACTAGTGCAAGGGTGTTGTTAAAAATATGTAATAAGCAATGTGACATGGGATCTTTTATTAATTCAGGAGAGATATAGAGAATATTAATTCAGATTAACAAATACAAAAGTGGAAGAAATTTGTTAAAAGTAAAATTTGTATTTCCAAATTGCCTTCCTTTTTGTCAGTACCTCAGAACAATAAATGTAAGTGAAGCCTGAAAATAAGATTATCTCTATCAAAACTATGAGTTTTATTGTTTGAAGTTTATAAAGTATTTTCACGTAAATTATTTGAAATGATTGCCAAAATTTTTTCTATTTTTGTAACCATACCCTTATCTCACCTTATCTCTAAGAATTAAGATTTAGAAAAACTACTATAGATTTTTTTGCTCATAATTTCAAATTATTTTCAGCTGGAAAAATTAAAATAAACTTTTAAAAAAGATTTTATTTATTTATCTTTAGAGAGGAAGGGAAGGAGAGAGGGAGAGAGGAAGAGGGAGAGAAATATCAATGTATGGTTGCCTCTCATGCGTCCCCTGCTGGGAACTGGCCTGCAACCCAGGCATGTGCCCTGAATGGGAAATGAACTATAATCCTTTGGTTCACAGGCCTGTGAATCCACTGAGCTACACCAGCCAGGGCAAAATAAACTTATTTTTTTCATAAAATCATTGTGATATATACATATTATTTATATATGTAGCATATATATGTCTTTGAATTGATGTAGATGGACCATTTATCTAATAGGTTTAACCAAATTACCAAGTCCAATTTAGGGGGGAAAAAACCCTAAATATGCAGGTTCTAAAAATCACTATGTTTTTGCTCAGCTAAGATTGCATGAGTAATAATTTTGCTTGAATTTACAAATATTTTTAGTCTTTAAGTTTCTATCTGGCCCAGGGCATAAGACAAACTTAACATAACTACCAGTGACCATACTCATAATGCCTCTACAGACTGACTTCCATATTCCATGTTTCTTTTGCTTGTCTCAGTGGTATTCAATTGTCAAATTGTGCTAAACTCAAGGGCATCAATTTGCATCATGATTTGCATAAATAATTTAATCAAAAACAAAATCAACTTTGAAATCCATTTACATCTTCATGATAAATTGAAAAAATTACATTGAAAATGCGCAGCCTAATGATCAAAACTGGCATTTGCTCAGCATTATTTTTTTCATTTTGCTTTCCCAGAGGATAATTATCATGACCAAGGATAAGGGGACAGAAGTTTAAGTCCTACAAATAGTTATTAAAATATTTAAAACCTGATAATTAAACACTGCTAATAAGTAGCACAGAAATTGTAAGTTGTTATTAACTTTAGTATAAATAAAAAGACTAGATTTTATTCAAAGATAGCTTAACACTCTATTTTGAGGATATATATTATAGCATTTTAGAGTATACAAAGAAGAAATTCTTTTAATATATTTTATTGATTATGCCATTACAGTTGTTCTATTCTCCACTTCATTCCCCTCCACCCTGCACACCCCTCCTTCACCATTCCCCCCTTTAGTTTATGGCCACGTGTCTCAAGTTCTTTAGATTCTATATTTCCCATACTATTCTTGCCCTCCCCCCTATCTATTTTCTACCTACCATCTAAGCTACTTATTTTCTGTACCTTCTCCCCCCTTCTCCTCCTCCCACTCCCCTATTGCTAACCCTCCTTGTCATCTCCATTTCTATGGTTCCGCTCCTGATATAGCTGTCCCCTAAGTTTGCTTTTATTTTAGGTGTGGTTGTTAATAACTGTGAGTTTGCTGCCTTTCACTGTTCATATTTTTATCTTCTTTTTCTTAGATAAGTCCCTTTAACATTTCATAGAATAAGGGCTTGGTGATGATGAACTCCTTGAATTTGATCTTATCTGAGAAACACTTTATCTGTACTTCCATCTGTTCATGCCTGTTATGTAAGAGGAGATGTTCACCAGGGCGGGGCTACCCAGGTCGCTGGTTTGTGACGCTGTATGTGGGGGCGGGGTCAGAGAGGGACAATGGCAGTCCTCTCTGCCACTTTCTGCCACTGGGGCCTGCATGGTCTGTCTCACCACTTAGCTCCTTCATCGGTTTATCTGCACTCGAACGTGTAACTGTGTTCAGCCCTCAGTGGGTCCACTGCCTTGTGCCCTCAGTGGGTCACCCGCTTCTCCACACCTGGGATCCGCCTAGGGCGGCCGGTGCACCTGGGTTGCGTGCAGGGTCAGTCTGGTGGATCTTTCCTGCCTGACCCCACTCTGCTGCTGGCTCTGCCTCTCTTACCGGTTTGGCTGAAGGGTTTGTTGTTGTCAGACTTCCATGTAGTTCAATTTTCTGTGGTTTGGCTGCGTTTTTGTTGCTAAAACTTTGTTGTTTTTAAACTTGGTTGTGTGAGAAGGCGCAGTGCTTTTACCTATACCTCCATCTTGGAGGAAGTCCCCAAAGAAGAAAAATTTTTAAAGACTATTGCTATCAATGTCTTGAAGATAAAAATATGTCAGCAGTAATTAATAATGCTCACAGTTTATAAAATAAAATATTAACTTATTATCTATTATAAAATATCCATTTTCTATTTATATTCTTAACTCTGATCTACAAAACATGTACCACTAAAGATATTCTGAATTCAAACCCTTTTAAAATGGCAAGGAAATAGGTACTGCAAAATTTCATGTTAAATTTACGAGACTAATATTCACTTACAAATTGTTACACACAAAGTTTGAAAAATTCATGAATATTGATATTTCATAATCTCTTTACTCATGATATTTTTAAAAACTATCTTCTTACAGTGACTTTCAGTTCTTGACATCTCAATTACTAGCTCTGTCATTAAACTAATCATTACTG